TCCTCTTCCCAAGAGAATGTATCTATAGTGGATAGAGGCCAGAATTGGTCATTTTGGTATTTTTTATTGCATCTGAAATTTCAAACATTCTATTTAATGATAATAATAAGCACAACCGTAATTAAGGAGGCTGGAGAGATGGCTCAGTACTTGAGAGCATACTGTTCTTACAAAGGTCCCAAGTCTGATTCCCAGCACCCATGTTGGAGGCTTACAACCTTGCCTATACCGCCAGCTTCAGAGGACCCAATGTCTTCATCTGGCCTTCATGGGAAACTGCACTCACATGCACATACCTTCACACAGATACACATAATAAAAACTAAATCTTTTTTAAAAAATGAAGATATGACATGTGTTCTAGTTTGTTTCTCCATTGCTGTGACAAAACACTCTGACCACTACCAACTTGGGGAGGAAAGGGTTATTTGTCTTGTATCTCCCAGGTCACAGTTCATCAGGGAGCTTGAGCTGGAGAGCTTTAGCATCAACTTGACACATCTGGGTTGAGGGAGCCTCAATTGGGGAATTGCCTTCATAGAACTGGCCTGTGGCCATGTCCATGGGGCATCTTCTTGATGAGTGATGTGGGAGGGCCCAGCCCACTGTGGGTGGTGCTACCCCTGGGCAGGTGGGCCTGTGTTGCATAAGAAAGCAGGCTGAGCAGGGGCCAAGGGAGCAAGCCAGTATGCAGTGTCCCTCCAAGGCCTGTGCCATGAGTTCCTCCATGGCCTGCCCTGAGTTCCTACTTTGGGCTCCCTGATGAACTGCGACCTGGGAGATGTAAGCTGAGTAAACCCTTTCCTCCCCAAGTTGGTAGTGGTCAGAGTGTTTTGTCATAGCAATGAAGAACAAACTAAGACAGAGATTGGTACAAGAGAGTGGGGTACTATGGTGATAGACCTGATGTTAGAGGATTGTGGAAGTGTTTGGAACTTTGGGCTGGAAAAGCCATTGAGTGCTCAGAGTTTGTTGCTGTGAAGTTGGAAAATTTATTCTGAAAGAGTTGTGGACAATAGAGGCCTGGCTTGTGAAGTTTCAAAGGGAAGCAGAGACTATCAGGGCTGTTTGTGTGATATTTTGAATTGAGAATCTGTGGGTTCTGGTCAGCTGGGGCTGAAGAATCAGCTGTGATTAAGAAGAGACCAGAACCTGAAGTAAAACTTTTGCTTTACTGGGACAATTGATGCTGGTTAGCTGGGGCTGAAAAATAAGCTGTAAGTAACAAGAAACCAGCATCACTGTGGTAAAGTCTTCCAGAAGGTATTCCTCAGGGTCAGTGCACAGAGGGAACCTGAGGCTCCATCTCAAGCTGGGAGCAGAACTTGGTAATGTGTAAGAGTCTCCTGCATGGTTCTGATGTTGAAAGCGTGAAGGGGTCATAGAGAGCAGCTGAGGCTTGGCATTCTGAGAGGCCAGGAAAGGCCATTGGTGAAAGTACAGCTTCAGTTACAGTAAAGACCCCAGAATTGAGTCATGGAGAGAATCTGAAGCATTGCACCCTGAGAGGCCAGAAGAGGCCATTGGTGAGGTGCAGCCTCAGTTTCAGTGGAGACCCCAGCTTTTTGGAGATGCCAGGACTGTGGGACAACCACCAAGGACAGCAGTAGATGTGGAATGGAGCTGGCCTGGGTCTGTGAGACAAGCTGTGTGTGCTGTGGACAGCAGAGTCAGAGAAGTGGAGCTGCCAGAATTCTTTGGAGCCCAGAAGATTGTGAGTGAATCCCAGATGTCCAGCCTCGAGCTACTTTGCTGGACTTTGGTTTTGCTTAGGTATGCCTGATTCTTCCCTTTGAAATAAGACAGTCCTTGTTTTAGATTTTACAGAAGCCCACAGTTAGGAGACTTTTAAAAGAGACTATGGACTTTTAAGTGTTTGGATTTTTTAAGGTCATACTGTCTTATGTTGTGATATTAATGTTAACATCATATCTTGGGGATCAGAATTTGAAAGGTTATGGATTAATAATGTGTTTGTGTGTCAAGTTGACAAGAGATCAATTGTGCTGGATAGCTTTTATTGTTAACCTGACACACCTGGGTTGAGGGAGCCTCAACTGGGTAATTGCCTCCATAGGACTGGCATGTGGCCATGTCTGAGGGGCATCTTCTTGATTGTTGAGTGATGCGGGAGGGCCCAGTCCACTGTGGATGGTGCCAACCCTGGGCAGGTTGGCCTGTGTTACATAAGAAAGCAGGCTGAGCAGGGACCAGGGGAGCAAGCCAATAAGCAGTGTTCCTCCACGGCCTGTGCTCTTCTAGCTCCTGCCTCTAGGTTCCTGCCCTGAGTTCCTACCTTGGGCTCCCTGATGAATTGTGACCTGGGAGATGTAAAACAAATAAACCCTTTCTTCCCCAAATTGGTATTGGTCAGAGCTTTTTGTCACAGCAATGGAGAAACAAACTAGGACAGAGCCCAAAGTAGGAACTTAGGGAAGGAACCTGGAGGCAGGAGCTGGAGCACAGGCCATGGAGGAACGCTGCTTACTGGCTTGCTCCCCTGGCCCCTGCTTAACCTGCTTTCTTTCTTCTTCTTCTTTTTTAAATATTTTATTATTTTTATTTTATGTGTATGGGTTTATTGCCTGCATGTAGATAAGTACACCTGTGTTATGCAATGCCCGCGGAGGATAGAAGAGGCTGTCAGATCCTCTGGAACCCAGGTCTTCTGCAAGAACACTGTTCTTAACTGCTGAGCCATCTCTCCAGGCCCTAACCTGCTTTCTTATACAACATAGGCCCACCTTCCCAGGAGTGGCACCACCCACAGTGGGCTGGGCCCACCCACACCACTCAATAATCAAGAAGATGCCCCATAGGTATGGCCACAGGCCAGTACAATGGAGGCAGTTCCCCAATTGAGACTCCTTCAACCTATGTGTGTCAAGCTGACACTAAGGCTATCCAGCACAACATGTAGAATCTTCCATACTCTCCTGGGAGAATAGCTGAGTGGGGTAGGGGAGAGATCCTTAAATACAATCCCTCACTCTACATATACAGGGTGCACTCAAACACCGATGAGATGATCCTATTGTGGTCCCTGTGTTCTGTACTTGTGACCTGTACTTAACATCTTGACTATCTCTTCCTAGTTGAATAAACTTTCTGGTTTGTGTCTCAAGTCCTTTGCTTAACTTGACCTCTCAATTGGTTGTGAGGATTAGATGAGTTTGTTTCTACATGTAAAGCACTCACACCATGTCTGGTGGCAGTGCACAGAAAGTGCTACATACAAACTAACTGTTGGTATCTTTCCCTGGCATTTAATAACTAGCTACTGGGCAAGATAGAAAGAGTACAAAAATTTGAAGCCACTGAGTACCCATTGCTTCAGAAAGCTCATGTCCTCTCAATTACAAGTGGTGACCTAGTTAGACAGAGAACTGGGGCTTTCAGGGTAGTACTGTGTGGATGTGCTGTTATAAGGATGCTCTTAAGGTTAACGGCCCAAGTCAGAGAGCAATAAACACTGATAACAATCAAGTTGACACTTCCTTTGCTTGGCTTTGTAATATTAGATCAGAATTCCTGAGACTGGGTAACATAAAGAATAGAGATTTTATTTGTTACAGATCTGGAAGTTGAGAAATCCAAGGTCAAACTGTGTTGACCTTGAGATGACCTTGCTGTTCACCCATCCAAGACAGAAGGTGGAAGGAATAGGGAAGAGCAGGTGGGGTAGGGAAAAGGTGCCAGGCTCCTTTTATCAAAATCCAATTCCCATAACTGACCCACTCCCTTGTCAACAGCATTAATCCATTCATGGGGGTAGAGCCTATTTGATTGACATAATCGCCCGTTAAAGTGACATCTCTCCACACTGCGCATTGAGGATTAAAATTCCAACATTTGAATGTGAAGAACTCATTCAAACCAGAGCATCACTAAACAATTTTATAAAGCCGAAGAGCCAATAACATACACACACACACACACACACACACACACACACACATATGCAATCTCTTGATCAGGTAGAATACTGATTTTCTTTCCTTTCAGTACCTAATCACATTTGCAAAGCAGGGGGCCCAAAGGGGCAACTCCAGGCAATGTCTATTTACTCGTTTATCCAACAACCTACCTCTGCACCTTCCTTACTTTGTAGTCACAATTACAAATGGGGACCTAGCTAAACAGAGAACTGGAATATTCAGGATGGGACTGGATTAGTGTGCTGTTGTGAGGGCCCTCTTGAGAGCAATGCCCCAGGTCAAGAGGCAATGAACACTGACAATTCAGGCTTCACTTCTTCCTTGGCTTTGCCTTGCTAGAAAGGAAATCCTGAACCAGAGTAATTATAAGGACCACCCCACAATCCCCATTAGGGAAACAAATAAGGTGATTCATTTCTTCTAAGATGTTTTTATTATATTTATTTGCTCGAGCCATAGTTTGGTCAGTTATCTCCCTCTTCCACATGGGTCCTGGGGATTGAACTCAGGTAGTCAGGCTTGGCAGCAAGCCCATTTACTTGCTGAGCCACCTCACAGGCCGGACAGTTCATGACTTAAATCAAAAAGTGGTTTCCTGAATATCATCTACCACATGGTGATTCCCTCTCTCGCTTTACCCAGCACCTGCTAGGCAGCAGAGGCTTGATTCTTCCTTCAAGGAGCTTACAGTCAAGGTTCTTTAGGTCGTCGCAGCACAACTGCGATGTTCGGAGACTGGACAAGAGTCGCCACAGGCCAGTGAAGCCCGGGAGTTTCCTAGCTGAGCTGTAAAGCAACAGAGCCAGGTCACACCCCACGGATCGTGGGGGACTGGCGCGACCAGACACAGCCCCAAACCCTGGAGGTCTGCGTCCAGAAGGCCGCCCGCTTGTCTCGGTCTCCCTCCCAGGCGCCAATGTCCCACGGTTGGTGGGTTGGTGACCGGGGAAGGAAGGAGGACAGTCTGTGAGATCCCAGAACCTCTCCGCCAGGGATCCTGGGTGCCTAGGTCCAGCCCCGCCTGTGGGCGCGCGTCCCTCTGCCTATCACCCGGGGCGGGGACGGAGCAAAGGTCCGGACGCTCCCTGTTCCTCTTTCCCTGCGCCGCGCGGGCGGGTGGCCGTGCACGCGGCTTCTCAGAGAGACGGGCGCGCGCGGGGACCCAGCGGCCGCGCGCGGGTAAGTGGCGGCGGGCGGAGCTCCCCTCCTCTCCTCTCCACGGTCCTCTCCTCTCAGCCCGCGCGGGTCCGGGCCTGGGACAGCACAGCCCCGAGCTACGGCCCTGGAGGTCCGCTCGCTCCCTCCAGAGGCCACCGATTAGGCGCGGTTGGGGCAGCCGGCACTGTCGGCCCTTGGTCCCCATCACACAGCCCCTCTGGCCGGGTCCCCATCCCGGGTTCCCCACCCCACACCTCCTCCCCGGCCCGGTCCTACTGGTCCCCATCTCACACCCACCTCCCTGGCCTGGCGCGCCCGTCGTCCCCATCCGGGTCCCTGGTCCCCATCCTGGACCTCCTTCCCTTCCCTCCCTCCTCTGCCCGGCACTCCCGCTCCTGGCCGGCCGACCCCTCTGCTGGGTGGTCTTTGGATGTGGCGAATGCATCCGGTGCCTATGGCCTCCTCTGCTCCCACGCGTTCATCCTTTGTCTTTCGGTCTCTCCTCCGGTGTGGCGAAGGATCCCGGCGTGGGAAACGTATGGGGGCCGGGGTGGGTGGGTGGAAGACTTGGAGCAGGTGTGGGGGCCAAGAGTGGGTTGGAGGCTAGCCCCTGGTGCTCCTATTCTTGGCTGGGGTACCCAAAGGGCCCAACCCTGGAATCAGATTTTTGGGGCCACTTCCCAACTGCACCGCATCCCACAAAAGACCCGGGCAGCTCTCTGGTGTTTGTTGGAAACTGAACACCCCTCCCCCCAAAAAACCCGCCCCCCAGCCGCCCATCCCTTCACTGGGGGTCTGTAGGGGATAAGGAGAGGTGAGTAGGGTTGTCTTGGGACTGTAGCCCTTAGGAGGCAAACAGAAACCGTGTTGGAGTGGAATGAAAGGAGCGTTGTGAGATTGGAGGAACAGCTGAATAAATGTACAATAAAAAGAATCCCATCGCCCGCAAGTGCTTCTCTTACAGGAAAACTGGGGAGAACCTGAGCCGGGACAATTAAATCTGAGAGAAATCACCCAGACTGCCTGCCCTCCCCTGGCCCTAGGCTGGCCTGCTTGAAGAGGAAGCTGTCCACTGTCCACAGTGCTATTTTTCGTTCTGTTTGAACTCTCTAGATGCTCAGAGAGTTACCTTGACTTTTAGCAGCAAGTCTGATTTCACTTCTACAAAAACCCTTTTGATGTGTAGAAAATTTAATGAATTCCCAGTCAGTTTGCTCCAGAAAATAATCAAGAAGCCATAAAAATAACATTCCAACATCAAGAGTAAACTGAGGCAGACCATGCTATGGCTCTTCTCTTGGACCAACGGGATGAATTCTCACAGGTCACAGGGGAGCCTCTGGTTGATTATATGTTCTTTCCTTGTTTTTGGCAGAACAAATCTTGCACTTTATCCCTCAGACAATCACAGCCAGCAGTATCTGCCCCATGGTCTCCAGAATCCCTCTCTTGTAACTGATTTCTCGTTTTCATCACCCATGCCCTGCCTGGACTACCTTCAGGACATCCTAAGGATTTCTTGTCTACTATTAACCCCTGTCACCCAACTAGAGTTCTGGTGAACCCACCACACCTGCATCTGACGCAGTTCAGAGCATCATTTTTTGTTGTTCATTTCTAATCTGTCTCCCTCTGTCCTCTTCCTGTTTTGCTTCCTGAAGATCTTTTTAAGTGACCATCTTTCTAAGTCACCTCATTCTCTCTAGTCACACTCTTCCATAGGTCTTGCTGCCCTGACTCTCCCAAAGCAGGTATAATGGACCTTCAGGCCCCGATCCAGGCCCTCCTCAGCCTGTTCCTGTCACTTTCCCACACTGGAGCTCAGCACTCCAGTGCATGAACCGATTGCAAAGCTTGATGAGCCATTCCTAGTCTGTCAGGGAAGTGGTGGCTGAGCACTGCAGCACAGCCACCAGAAGCTCTGTGATAACCCTCCTTGTCTTTCCTGTGTCCCATCCTACCTCATCTCCCTGCTCTGTAAGTATCCTTCTGCCGGAGCAGCTCTCACATGTTCCTTTGCCTGATTCTTTTGCTTGGCCTACAAAGTGCAGATTGGATGTCACGGACATCACGAGGACAGCTGAGAAGACCCCTTGCTTCTCTACTGAGATGATAAGCCTTTGCCTCATTACCCTCCAGCATTATCTGCCAATAGCTAACATAAAGCATACTAGTTGTGTGTGTGAGTTGTGTTGGCGGGGGAGCTTTGAGACAGGGTCTCACTCTTTAGCCCAGGCTGGTCTGGAACTCAGCAATCTTCCTGCCTCAGCCTCTAGTGCTGGGATTACATATGTGAATCCCCATGCCGAGCTAACACCTGGTGATTTTTAAGCGCATCAAGCCAGGACCTGGGTATAGTGTGACTACAAGAATTCTTAATTACTAACTTGGTTAACAGTTTGGTAAGTGAATAAATAAATGTCCCATTGACAGCTAGATCCTTAATCTTAGTGTTTGTTGTTCGTGGTTTCAGAAAGGAACTCTTTTTGCTGTCCTTAGGGTCTCTTTAAATGTTCATCTTTACTGCGAATATATAAGAACAGGCTTTAAGAACCTATTGCTTCATAGTAATTTAAGAAAAGGTACTTCAGAGAAGAACTAGGTAAGGCAGCTGTTTCTTGATGTCTTAGAGGAGGCCCATGGTGAAAATCGAGAATTAAACAGGTTAAAGTCTGAAGTTACTTCCAGCTTTTAAATTCTGGAGTGTGGTGTGGCCAGGTGGCAGTGCCAAATTCCAGGGTAAGAATACAAATAAAAACCAGTTATTGTCCACTAGACATTTTTGCTTGAGCATGGATAGTCTTTTAAAATACTATTTCAGGAGTTGGAGAGATGACTCAGTGATTAAGAGCACTGGTTGCCTTTTCAGAGGACCCGGGTTCAATTCCCAGCACCCACATAGCAGCTAATAACCATCTGTTACTCCAGTTCTAGGGGAATCCAACTCTCTCTTCTGACCTCCATGGGCAGTTCATGACATGGATGCACTTACACACATGTAGGCAATACACTCATACTCATAAAACAAAAATAATAAATAAAATATTTAAAAAGTAAAATGGTATTTCATCTGGGTGTGGTGGCCTGCATTATAAACTTAACACTGGTGAGACTGAGGCAGGAAGATCATGAGTTAGCTTGGGTTGTTACAGACTGAGACCCTCCAAAACAAACAAAATCTCCAAGCAAATAAAAACATTATTTCAATTTGCTTTTTTGATATTATATAAGTGCATATATATATATATATATGCTTTGTTCAATTTCTGTATAAGAGTTTCTACTGGAGTATTTGATTTATAAAAGTTTTTAAAACTAGATATTCTCATCATAAACGTTGGCAATGCTTTCTCAGTTTCTGTTGTCTTTCTAAAGGCCCTTCTCCTCCCACAGTCACATACATATTTTTCTGTGACTTTTCTGCTACTTTTATGCTTTTATTTTCCTCAAAGAAATTCTAATAGATTGAGAACTAGCCGTGTGTATGGTACGAGAGAGGACTCAGACGCTTTCTCCAGGCAGTTAACCCATTTGTATTGACCCTCATGCTGTCTACCGAATAGACCACCTTTCCTGTCTGTCTTCCTTGTGTTTCCGTTTACCTTCCAGCTGAAGTCTGACTGTGCCTTTAGTACTGGGTTAGACAAAAGAGTAGCTAATATTCATTTCTGAATAGGAATGATCATACAGTGTAGAGAAAAACCATCTTTGTGCTTTCAAAGAACTGCAGTGCTCCCTAGGTACCACTGAGGGATTGGCTTGGGACCTCCTTCCTTAGCCAACCTCCCACCAGGTTAAAACATCTGGGATGTTCATCACTTATGCAGAACGGTGTAGGGTTTGCATACAACCCCACATCATCTAGTTAACCTAAATCATTTGTAAATAGTTTATATCACCTAATATAATGTGCTGTGTAAATAGCTATTACAGCATTGTTTAAGAAATGACAAAGGGAAAAGTCTGTATGTGTTCAGTACAGATGCAGTTACTTTTTACTATTTTCAACCTGCAGTTGGTTGAATCTATGGAAGTCATTATGTTCAACAAATGCTCCTAACTCTCTACCTTCCAGATTCTGGGTAGGACTGTATTTTTGACCCATGTTGGGTAAAGCCATGTGACTAGTTTGACAAGTTATAAGTGAAACATGCCATCAGTCCTTGTACCAGAGCATTTAATTGCTGGTGTGAGATCTTCTAGAACCCCCTTTTCTGTTGGATATTGGCTGATGGTGTTCAAGGTAGTAACTTCCTCTTTGGATCCTTGAATGACTGCAATAAATAAAATTCTCAGCCAGGTGTTGGGTGATTCACTTGTGTTATACCAGTACTTGGGAGGCTGAGGCAGGAGGATTATTCAGAATTTCAGGCCATCTTGGGCTAAGAAATGAGACCCTATCTTAAAACAAACAAACAAAAAGAATACCTCCCCACAGTGAAAATGCAAAATAAACAAACCTTTCCTGTCTCTTCTGTATTGACATATTGTGTAAGCGGCAAATAATTTTTTTTAGACAAGGTCTCACTATATTGGTTGGCCTGAAACTCACCATGTGGACCAGGCTGGCCTTGAAGTTATGGTGATCCTCATCCTTTCCCCCCTTGAGTGCTGGGATCATAGGTGTGTTCCATCAAGTCTGACTTAACAAACTTAGATGTAAGCCACTGAGATTTGAGGGTTGCTGGATTCTGAAGCCTATCCTTGCTTACCTTGACTGATAAGCATATTCTTTCATTGTTTCAATTTGAGTTTTTCTTTTTTCAATTTGATTTCTTTTTCATAAACTAAATTCACATTAGGAGATTTCTTAGAACATGTTCTTGCATACAAATTGTCAAGACTAAAGGGAAATATAACAATTCTAGAAAAAAATACAAAGTAAGAATGTCATATTTGACTCTGTGATAATCTCTTTTTTTTTTCAGGTTATCTGAAGCTCTCAAAATGTTTGCAAAAGCAACAAGGAATTTTCTTAAAGAAGTTGATGCTGATGGTAACCTGATTTCAATATCAAACTTGAATGACTCTGATAAGTTACAACTTCTAAGTCTAGTGACCAAAAAGAAGAGATATTGGTGCTGGCAGAGACCCAAGTACCAGTTTTTATCCGTCACCCTGGGAGATGTACTCACAGAAGGGCAATTTCTGAGTCCAGGTACGTTTCTTCATGAATATTCTATGACTGTTCCTGAACAGCAAATGGTTCTTCTAAGCATGTGCTCTCTGAAGTCAAGATAGTATCTTATTTTCAATGCTTCTTTGCCTTCTTTGTTATAAAGAGATCCTTTCTTAATGAGCACAGTTCTTCAGGCCTTAAAAGCTACCACTTAATGTTTCAAAAATAATATTTCCACTTTGGTATAAAAGTCAGTTATACCCATCATAAATGTTGGAGCCACTCAGTGTACATGGGATGGCTCCCCTGTCCAAAATTTGGTTTGATGTCAAGACTGAAAGTTCTGTGGACTGATCAGGAAGATGTAAAGAGTGTCACTTCTTACTGGATGGTGCTTTCTCTGGGGAGCAGGGCAGTCTTCCAAGCTGGTCTGAAAGTGGTTATAAGAGCTCAGGAGACTGGTTCAGCTTTCACAGGGGTTCATGTTTCTCTTCTGTTGGCCCAGCTGAGGGGACACCTGGGCGTCTTGTTTATTTTATTTTATTTTTTAATTTGTTTATTTTGTGTGTGTGTGTGTGTGTGTGTGTGTGTGTGTACATTTGTGTGCACCATGGTATAACTGGTGGAGATCAGAAGACAACCTCGGGTGTCAGCTCTCACCTCTCACCCTGTTTGAGACAGGGTCTCTTGTTGTTTTTGCCTGGGTGTATGTCAGGCTAGCTGGCCTGTGAGCTTCTGGGGACTCTCTTGTCCCTGCTTTCCATCTCGCTGTAGAAGCAGTGGGATCATGGACACATGTTACTGTGCCTGGCTTTATGTAGGTTCTGGGGATTTGGTCTCAGGTTCTCATGCTTGTGGGTCAAGTGCTTTTACCCACTAGGCCATCTCTGCAGCCCCACCTGGACTTCTAGTAAGTTTGTCCAGATGCCCAATAGAATAAGACAGACTGATGATGATCTGGAAAGCTGCCATCAGAGAGAGGGCAAAAATGGATTATATGTAGCATTATAGCACAGTCATGTACCACTAATATGGTGGTCAATGGCAGGCCATATATACAATAGTGATTCTGTGAGATTATATTGCCTAGTGATGTCTCAGCTTTCTTGGTTTGTGTAAAAGCACTTTATGATGTTTCCACAATGATAAACCCACCTAATGATGCATTCTGAGGACTTGACCCTGCTAAGTGGCATGTGGCTGTGTTTAGGAAATACACAAAGAAATTAAGGAGAAAATTTTATAATCAATAAAAAAATACACAATTGTATGTTTACCATTGATACATAAATTGTGGTCTTTTTTCACTGTATCTAATTTTTAACAAAATTGTGTGTGTGTGTGTGTCTTGCCCTGTGTGCATGTATGAAGACAAGAGGTCAACATCAGCTGTCTTCCTCTATCATTCTCCATCTTAATTTTTAGCTGATGAAAGACTTTAATGTAAGACTTGAAACTTTTATTTTAACATTATCTATTTTATTTTATTTTATGTGTATGAATATTCCATGTGGGTACCTGCTGCCTTCAGTGTCCGATCCCCTGAAACTAGAGTTACAGACAGATGGGAGCTGTCATGTAGGTGCCAGGATCTGAACTCAGGTCCCCTGAAAGAGCAGGAAATGCTCTTAAGTCCTGAGCCACCTCTCCAGGCCCTCCACACT